CCCAAGACAAAAGTCTTCAAGGGAGCGCTTCTGTGGAAGAACTAACAAACCAGCTGGGAGGAAGGGACAGAGAGAAATGGGAGCAGCACAGAAAGGGGAACAGGTGGAGAGGGGGAGGCATGCCTGGCAGGGACAACATAGGAACCAAAGGTTTAGGATGCAGGGACAGGTTCCATGTGGGCACAAAAACGTAAGAGTAAATTTTTTTTATTTTTTTAACTAAAGGAGGAGATGAGTCCAAAGAATCATAAGAATCCAAGCAGAAGACTGGAGGCGGAGGTGGAGGTGGAGCTCTCAGTGGTAGAGCACACACGCACAAGGCCCTGGGCTCATCCTCAGCATCACAAAGAAAAAAAAAGGAAGAACGAATCCAAGCACAGCAGGTCAGAGGGGGACAGAACAGCAAGGAAAGGAAAGGCCCTGAATGCCACATCAAAACACTCAGGTCACACATGTGAAGTGTGTAAGCACACAAGGTTCTTTCTTAGCACTGCTGCTTGAGCAGACAGAGCTTGCTGTTATCTTCCCAAGTCATCTGCTTTCTCTTAGACATCAGTCCCCCTGGTCACAACACCTGAAACCCTGTCAGGGAGTCAGGATTCAAAGAGCTCTGTCCAGCACTGTCCTCAACTTTTCTGTCCTAGAGTCAACAATATGTAGTAATCAAGTACAATCCCGGGGTTAATGTCAAAGTTCAATTGATACATATGGATAATTGCTTAAAATTATTTAATGCTCTGATAAGTTTATTTCCAAGAATGAGCATTTCATTTTAAAATACACACACACACAAATAAAAACAAATTTTCCTTATAAAACTGGAAAGTGAATTCTCTTAGAAAACTCCTTTAAAAAACAAATACCATCCCTGCCTGAGCTCAAAATGATGGCATCATTTACAACAAATCTAGTGCAGTTGGTTAGAGATACCAAATACCCCCGAATGTGAGTTATCGAGGTTACTCTATGAATAGGAAAGACATATGAGGCCTCAAATTAGTATGGGCATTTGGGAAGACAGTATGCACACTCATGGTTTTGTGGTCTTTGACCACCCTGCCAGCCCGGTTAAGTCTGGGTAGTCAGGAACCATCTGGTGACAGAGTGCAGCCTGGCTCAGCAGAATCCAGCACAGGGAAGTCTCTACCTCCCAGAGATGCACTCCCTGCCAAAATCTCACCCTTGTGGCTGCTCCCATCCTTCCAGGCCCCTGACCAAAGACTTTACCGAGCACACTTTCCAAATGATGAGCAACATTCTCCAGTTGGTTTAATTTGTGATTCCAAAAGAGAAGGGGAAAAAAATTTCTTTTCATCTATTTTTAATACCAGTGGAAGCAACTGGATGATGTAATGTATGCTGTTATATTCACTTATGTCCTTCTGGCCTGTAACATTTATGGATCCTGTCCATATTTTTCTTAAAGCTCCACTTTAAACACTCAGCCCTGCATCTGGCTCACCATAGGAAGGAAGCACCTGTTTATCTAATTGAACAAAATGATAGTGAGGTGTTAAGAAGAAACTCAAAAAAAAAAAAAAGAAAAAACCTTCAAAAAATAAATAAAACAAAAAAGAAGAAGCTCAACCTCTCAGGGAGAGAGCATCTCTCACAGGATCTGGAAAGCCACTGCCCTTAACAGCATAGGTGAGGGGCTAGCCCCAGGCAGTAGCCAAGCAGGCACAAAGGCAAAAACCCCCAAACAAACACAACGCTCAAAGTTAGCCAAACACAATGACAGCTGGAATGTGCAGCATTAAGAGAGGGAGAAAAGTCTCATGCCTAGAAGCAGGGTGGGACCATGGAGACAGCAGGCAGATTTGGAAGAACACAACCACCTCTCAGAATGACACCCAATCAGACAGGCACAGGAGCCCACACCTGTAATCCCAGATACTTGGGTAGTTCAATAGTAGAGCACTTTCCTAGCATGCATAAGGCCCAGAGTTTGATCCTTAATACCACAAAAAAAGGCGGGGTGAGGAGACTGCTACCCCTCACACTGCTCCTAGAATTGCAGGTAGAACCATCATTCACCCATCTCTCTGCCAGTATCTTGGGTTAAAGGGCAGGTGCTCTAAGGGCCACTTCTCAGTATCTCTCAGATATGGAAAGAACCCCAGGGTAAATGAGGACTGAATTTTTCTGGATTAAATCTTTTCTAGGTCTGGTATCATCATGTAGTCACATTCCTCCGCAAATCTATGAGAGGCTGAAGTTACTGGACACGAGCCAAATGCTGGCAACTAATAACCATGGAAAGTGCAAACAGGGCAGATGCCAGAGAAACACTAAACAGCACATGGATGCACCAATAACAAAGATCCAGCAGCTCCCTATAAAGGCAAACAGTCCAATAGGTATATGGAGGCACAGCCAAGATAGTGACCCCAAACCCTATGCAGATACTACTGCCTGCTTTCCCAGTAATGCTGCCTGGCAGTATTATTTCAGGTGACAAGTCAAGGCTGGGAAGGCTTTATTGCCGCTAGACTTTGAGAAGAAGCACACACTCCTGCTCCATTCTCTTATCTCCTCCTCCAAAGCCTAAGGCTTCTGCCTCCTGGATTTCCTGAAATTCAGCAAAGTGATCTTTCCAACAGTGAGGACTCCTAGTCTCTGTTAGGTATTGAAAGCCTCTCACAGCAGGCCTCGGCCCACCTTTCTAGCCTCCTCATCCTTGGCTGTTCCCAAAGCTCTCCAAACAGATGGGTTTCCCTTCTTCCACTGATTTTGTTCTGAAAACTACCCCAGGGCCATTGGGTGACTGAGACCCTCCTCCTCAGAGAATGGCCAAGGGCCAGAGCGCCCAAGCTCTATTCCCAAACAGCCAGCAGGAAGGTTTAAGGACAGACTGAGTGAGAGCAAGTCCTAGGACTGACTCAGCACTCCAGATCCTCTTGAGGGTCACAATACTAAGCCCCACGTAGGAATCTCAAATTGCTCATGTTCACTGCTATATTCTAGGGCCAGCGGGAAGGGTGTAATATTTCATCAAAACAAGGCCCTCTCTCCAGGAAACCCATAAACTTTGAAAATCTCAGCTCACATGCACCCTAATAGTCCCCCAAGTCTTGCAACCCCTCGTTCCCTTAAGGTCCTAAACCCACAGTGAAGATGTACCACTTGCTCCCACCACCGGCATGGGCCGCGAGTGCCCACATCCCCTGCACTTCGAGCGGCAGCCAGAAGAGCAAGGCTCGACGAGCGAGCGCGCCGCTGGGCATCTTCAACGAATAAACTAAACAGACCCAGAGTTTGGAACATCTCTTGGTGCTTAAGAGTTTTCCTCCAGTAATCTCCACGTAGGTGGGCGAGGAGACCCCGCTCCAAGAAAGGCAAGCAAGCAGAGATTCCCCGCTCTCCTTTCTTCGTCTCCCAGGACCACAACCCGCATCCCCAGCCTCCCCCCTTCCAGTCCCCCCAGGCCGCTAGGAAACCGCGGAAGCGACTCCACGCGTGAGCTACGGTCCCCGCTCACTACCCCAAGTTCTAGCTCCCCGCACCCCTGACCCGCCGGCCTGTCCCAGACCGCGGGGGTCAGAGGGCGCATTCTTCGCGCCGCCCTCCCCTTCCCTCTCGACACAGGAGCGTAGTAGGCACAGCGCGCCCGGCTGCGGACCTGAACGGGAGAAGGCGGCCAGGGCCGTCCGGGGCCCAGGAGCCCAGCCTGGGGCGCCGGCTCCGAGAGGAGGGAGCCCCTCCCCCTTCCCACTCCCGGGCCCCGCCCGGCCTCAGGGCCCCGAGGCGGCGCGGTCCCGAGAGAAGGAAGGCTCGAGAAGAGACAGGCTGGAGGACACTTACTTAACAGGCTACATAGTTTCACTCCCAGCCCATCTCTGGGCTGCGGCAGCACCTCCCAGGCCCTCTGTTGGGACCTCAGTGCCCACCACCCCGGTGCGGCAGCTCGGCTCCACAGCCCACCCCTTTACACCGCCGTTGGGCGGAGCCGCACCTTAGCCCGCCCGGCCCAATAAGCGGCCGTCCTTATCTAGAGTGACGTGTACGTGAAGCAATCGTTGAGTCCGGCCCAGCCGGGGGTGGTACTCAGGCAACTCACAGCGCTTCCTACTCAGAGAAGCCCCGCCCAGAATCAACGACTGCGCGTGCCCAGAATGGAAGGGGCGGGCCCGAGGGCAGATCTGACACTAGGGGTGGGGTCCAAGCTAGCTTTTTGAAAGGAGGCTGGACTGCGAGGGGGGAAAAGAACCCCGTCGGGAAATTGTCCCACCGGGCGGATTGCTATTCGCTGCTCGCTTTGCGGGACTTAAGTACCCAGTCTTATGAGGCGCATCACTCTGTTGCCTAGAGGATCTGGGAGTCACTGTCCTTGGGTTCTAGTCCCTTCGCTTGCATGGACTCTGCATGAACTAAGCCTTCTTTTTACCCAGTTCTTCTTAGTTTCATCATCTGCACAATAAAGAAAGGTTGTAACTGCTGGTCTTAACATTCCAGAACTGTAATGGGGTGCAGAAGAGGTAGAGATGCTAGACCCACACGTGACTTCCCCGAGCGGGGCTCCGCCTACTCCTGGTCCAGGGGGTGGAAGCACACTGCGAGGACTGGGGTGGGCGGATCCTACGAAACCCGATCCGGCTGCCCTAGGCAGCGACTAAGGCTAAACGCACAGCTGGGCGGCCCGCTAGCCCTGGGGTGGTTCTAGAGGAGGATGGGGTTTGTTCTCCGAGCTTCTCAGGGAGCCGCTGGGGAAGCAAGGGTCGTGCAAAGATAAGTGTGTGCCTCGGGGCGCGTCTGGAAAGAATGAACAAGCGAATGGAAGGCAGCTGACTCAACTCCCTCTCCGCGCTGGGTCTTTGGAGGTGCAAGTTGCGAGTCCTTGGAGAGCTTTGTGGCTAGCTGCTAAAACGCGGAACGAATCACGGGCCATGAAGAGTGTTCGGACCGCTCACCTCAAAGGTGGCATCTGGGCTGGCAGCGTCCTGCCGCGCTGAGGGTGTAAGAGGGGTGCGGGCTGCTGGATCCCGACGGAGCGCACCACCATGGCCAGAGAGGAATGCAAGGCGCTGCTAGACGCGCTCAACAAGACCACCGCTTGCTACCACCATTTGGTGCTGACCGTCGGCGGCTCAGCGGACTCACAGAACCTGAGGGAGGAACTACAGAAGACCCGCCAGAAGGCGCGGGAGCTGGCGGTGACCACTGGTGCCCGGCTGACTGTTGCGCTGCGCAACCGGGGTCTGGCCGCGGAGGATCGCACGGAATTTGAGCGCCTCTGGGTGGCCTTCTCTGGTTGTCTGGACATACTGGAAGCCGACATGCAACGCGCACTGGCGCTGGGAGCCGCGTTCCCGCTGCATACGCCTCTGCGGCCGCTTGTGCGCACCGGTGTAACTGGTGATTCCTCCCGGGTAGCAGCGCGCGCCTTGAGCGCCCGCAGCCTAAGTCACCAGGCTGAACGCGACTTTGACGTCTCAGATCTGAAGGAGTTGGAGCGCGAGGTCCTTCAGGTGGGAGAGATGATCAACGACATGGAAATGAAAGTCAATGTACCGCGTTGGACAGTACAGGCCCAGCAGACCGCGGGCGCCGAACTACTGTCCAGTAACAGCATGGGCGCCTCCTCCGTCGGCGCCGTGTCTGTAGAAGAGCGCTCGAGATCCTGCAACCCCAGCAAGGCCTTGGCTGCTACTCTTTTCAGCGCCGTGCTGCTGGCGGCTGTGGCCCTAGCCTTGAGCGTGGTAAAGCTAGGTTGACGCTTGACGGCCACCCTTACCCACCGCCTGCAGCCTGCTCCCTCCCCGTGAACAAGATTCAAAATGGGCTTTGCAGTCTGGCCTGTTAAGGCAAGCAGCACAAAAACACCGTATGCGCATGTGTATATGCATTTCTAGCACACCTCTGCCTGGGCAGGACATGGTTTTCTTTTGCTGGCCCAGGAGGAGTTAACTTTGCTTGAGCTGTCAGGGCATTACCGCTAATATCTGCAGGAGCTTTATTCCCTATTAATAGAAACGATCCATAGTGACCCCAGATTCCTTTGAGTTAATGGGTTAACGCGTGTGCTACTGGGACGTTTTTACACGGAGTCCAAATTTGGTGCCCCACTCCTGCAGGCGTCTCCCACTCTCTGCATGGGACAGTTTGGAGAAGTGGGTGAGGTGGTATGAAGCATGAAGAGGGTGGGTGGTTTTGCTGTTTGTAGGTGGCTGATTTGTTTCCTGGACACGAAACGAATTGCAATAAGATGTAAGCAGGTATTATTATTATTATTATTACCTCAGTCCTTTGGGGCCTAAATTTAAGAGAATGTGCAGTTAGAAGTTCAAACAAAGTGCTTTCTTATGGCCCAGTGGCCCAGTTTATGGCAGTTGATCCATTAGTCACCAAAAGAGATTTGGGGTCTTAACCTCCCGCTGCTGTACAAGATCTGACCCTATTTAGGAAACCAAAGAAAGTAGTTGGTTGAACCTGCTATATAGCAGGATTGGATCCACCACACACACCTGCCTGCCAAGAAGGGTTCTCCCCAGCCAGCCTTGGATGGTGGAGAAAGAGGATGAGGAGGCTTTGGGAAAGGCCACATGCTATGTAAACAAGCACTTTCTCCTTCTCAGGGGCTTATTTTTGTTGCAGAACTAGACCAGAGTGTTTGATCCTCCTTTGAGGGAGGGCAAGAGAATCCTCTTTGAAGCACTTAATCCTTTTTATCCCCGGAATTTGCTTGCTAGCCAATAGGATGGTTGGCTTTGGAGGGAGAAGGACTGCTCCCTGACCCCCCACACTGTCTGGTCATGTGGCATTACTGGCCCACAGAGATTTTGAGTCAATGAGCTCTGACACTGGGTTAGAATGTAACTGCTTTAAATTGAAATTTAAGAAGCTTTAAGTATATATATATTTAAACGTACATATGTATATAAACATCTTGAAAGAAAAATAACATTACCACATCATGTACTATCAAAGCTGTTTTTTAACATGAAAGCATTGGACAACGAATTCATATGTGCCAATGAGTCAGAGGTCTTTATGTACCCTTAGGTTACAAAATAAGTAATTGCACCTATTTTTCAAATCTATATTCTAGAATACAGATTGAATTTTGAGGTTGTAGGATCAGTACTGGAATCACAGGTTAATGTAAGAAGTAAACTGTCTTTGCTTCTTTTGATCCATAAATAAGGAAATGTGGAAAGCACCCTTGGTCCCAGGCAGGAATTTGCCTAAACACTGAAGCCACCTCCTGCTTGGGGTTCAGAGAAGCTCTGTCACATTCTTGGGGACATGAGGCTGAGAAAATAGATGCATTCAACTTTCTAGAGATAATTTAGAACAAAATCAAGAGATTTTGGTTTGGCTGAAAACCAACACAGATTTTTTTTTTCTTTCTCACCCCAGAAGTGAGAAAGGGGATCAGGTGGAAGGAATTGACAGTTTTCCACAAGAGCAGCTTGGAGGGCCAAGGGACAGAAGCAAATAGCAGCTGGATTTCTGTCTGGGCACCCAATCCTGAGGACTGCTCCTTATCCTCTACCCTAGCCCAATTTCACTCCTTTTCAACACATAAATTCCAGCGACAGGTAGGGAAACAGAATCTGTTAGCTTATGTCTGTGGTCATGCTTTTAAAAAACCCACAAGGTCTTAAGCTGACCAAACCTCTTATAACAATTGCTATGAGAAGCTCCTTCTGCTTCACTCAATCTGGATGAGTCTGAATAGGGGCCACTTCCAATTCTCTTGCACCTGTCTTGCCAGGGCGCTTTTGGAGATGACGTAGAAAGATTTTAAATTTCCCACACACAACACAACATGAGTCTATTGCCCTCTCCAAAGTCTAATCTCTCTCAAGCAAGAGAATGCTAGGACACTTTGTAAACCAGTGTTGAAAAACGTCCTTAAAAAATAAGACCTAGGTGCTGGGGCTGGGGATCAGCAGTAGCACACGTGTCTGGCATGTATGAGGCACTGGGTTCAATTCTCAGCACTACATATAAATAAATAAAGGTCTATCAATAACTAAAAAAAATTAAAAAACAAAAAAGCCCTAAAGATGTTCTGCCATTTCAAAGACTGCAACCTCTATTCTTCTCAGGGTGTTTTGGGTCATGAAAAAAAAAAAAATTCAGTAGAACCTGTTTTAAAAACAATCCATCTGCTGTTTGGTAATCCGTTGAGAGTAAATAGGGCAAACAAGTTTCCTTGTCTCTCCTTCCACCCATTTGCCAGTTCCTTGGGTATTATAAGAGCAATCAGATGTGCACCTGCTCTGAGGATCTCTGCTCAATGAAATTAGTGATGAAATGTTACAAAAAGAAAAGGCTGAATTACAATAAATATATTTATCCTTTGGGCTTGTTAACCTATGGAACTTCAGCTATGACAAATGCAAAATCACTTTCTGCCTTGTGCAATAGATTGCTCCCTGCCCTCTTTCTTTCTTTCTTTTTTCTTCTTTTTTTTTTTTTTTTTTTTTTTGGTAGTGGGGATTAAACCCAAGGGTGCTTTACCAGACCTTTTTATTTTCATTTTATTTTTTAAATTTTGAGACAGGGTCTTGCTAAGTTGCTGAGACTGGCCTCAAACTTGTGATCCTCCTGCTTCAGTCTCCAGAGTCGCTGGGATTACAGGCGAGTGCTAGCCACACCGAGCTTCTGCTCTCCTTTTCTATATTCAATTCAAAAGATTGCTTTTTGATAGAAGCCTGACTTAATTTTGACGTTTGATACTTAAACCACTACTTTAAATAATAAATTTAAATTTCTACTATACCATGATGCAATGGTAATTTTTAAAAAAAATCAATAAAGAACTTGGAATGTCAAGGCACCTGTCAGGAGAACTATGTTTTCAGAAGAGTAAATTCTAAACTACTGCTATTAGTAAAATAAAAATAATTGTAATCATAATATTTGTAGGAGAAAAATGCCTGGCAACTTTTTATGTGTTCTAAAAACTCATGCATTTAAATGCCACAAAGGGAAATATTTTTGTGTATAAAATTAGAGCATTTCTTGAAAATAAAACATGATTTATCTAACGTTTACAGTAAGCTACATAAATAGCATGTGATATTGAATGACTAAAAAAAGTTGTATGACCCTGAATGACTGAAAAAGTAGTTTTGATTGAAGAGGTTTGAATGAGAACCCTGGTAATACTGTATCCCAATGTGCACTCTGATTCATTTTTAGCTACTTTGGTCCTTCTCAGAATGTGCTCTTCCATTCTATAATGAATGTTTTGTAAGGATGCAAGCCTCAAAGTGTGAACCTATATGTCCATCTGAGAAATAAAATGTTGTAGAATTCATATCCACATTCCTTTGGGGTATGTCTCCGTCCCCAAGGCCCAGCTAGCCATGATGGGCAGGGAATTCTGCCTCTGTCTGAGTACCTCAACAAGTATTGACCTCCTGGTGCCTCAAATCCCTCATTTGTGAAATAGAGGTTTTGACTGTATAATTCAAAGATCCCTTCTAGAGCTTAAAGCGTTTAATAGAATGCAGTTAAACAATAAAGAGTTATTTTGCTAGTTAGTTTGGCTTTGGGGTTTGTTTATTAGTTAGTGTTGGTGCATATTAGAATGCAATCTTACAGTTCAATGGTTATTGTCTAAAATTAGCAAGAAATTATTTAAAACTCTATATTAATTTTAAAAATCAGAAATAATGAAGCTTGCTGTGATTTAGTGCACATCAGAATTAGAGGATAGATTTTAAAAATCAAAGGTGGGGCTAAGGATAAACAAGGTCCTGGGTTTGATCCCCAGCACCACGAAGAGGGAGAGAAAGAGAAAAGGAAATGTGTATATATGCTATTTATTTATTGTGTTTAAATTAGATGAGGAATTTAAATTCAGACTCAAAGTAAAACCCAATATGTATTTAAAGTTTATTTAGCCCACCAATCAGGCCACCTAAATGGATTCTGGGAAACTGCAGATACAAACTCTTGTCATTTGTCACGGAGGCTGAAAGAAGGGTATTCTGTAAGTAAGGTGGCAACCTCAGAACTATAACTGCATTAGCTGCCTAATGTCAGGAAACATGAGGACAGTAGGGGTTGTTTCTGTATGTGGCATCAGATCTAGGGTGGAATTAAAAGCTTCAGATCTTCTCTTTAAATGATATTTTATGTTCACAAGTTCTAACTAAAATGCTTATCAATAGGCCAAAATTTAAAGATAATGTGCAGTCTTTATAACAGTGGGAAAAGGCACCCTCAAATGATCCAGCTATCAACTTGTGATCTTAAAAAAGTATTCTTCATTTCCTTTGCCCACGTCTTAATGGAAGTGAACATCCTGATCAACATATTTACCCTTCACAGATTTTGTTACATAAATAGATGTTCAGAAATACTTCCAGACTATACATCTCCAGGTGCTTTTCTACAATATGATTATACTCAGCTTTTAATTCAAGAAGGAATGTACCAAGAACAGTCCCTGCATGAGAGAACTTCCACTGGATTAAACACAGATCAAAGTCATATTTCAAATACCGTTTCCTCTGGCTTTCAGGAATTGACCAAGGTCAATGCTGTGGCTCTTGTGTCTGTGAGGACAAGGTGGATTTCTGGAAAAACATTTCTCTGATTTATTTATTTTCCAACTCATTCCATAGAGTATTCTGGGTGTTTTCATCAAAGTGCTATGAGATCTTGGACATGTTTATTCATTGGTGTTTGAGAATCTTAAAACCTCAAGGCTTTCATAACCTATACAAATAAGCTAAATGAGAGCTCCTATTGT